GCTAAAATCTTTATCTCTTTTGTCGCCCTACCTTTCGGGGCTTTGTACCCAATCCTCCAGGGCAATGATAACAATTAAATCTATATATGCTACATGTTTACATGTCAAGACAGCATTCATGACTGGACTATCCTTAGGAGGAGGCATTGCATTTTCTCTAAACCGGCCTTTTTTCTTATAACCTTTATCATGTTTATTCCCTTGTTCAAGAATACTTTGTGCCAAATTGGTTGAAAGTGGCCCAGTGGAAAATGTGAATGTTTATATACAAAGATGACAACAAGGGCAACAATACTCACAATAAGTACACGAATATACAACAGACAAATTTTGATCAGAAACTCCCTTGAGCCTCTGGTCCTAGGGACTTACGGTACAACTTTGACAAATCCTGCTTTGTGTGTATTTTGAAATAGCCTCTGTACATGTTTTTATGTCTCAGTGGACAGTTTCTTGAAGTTCTTGAACAGATTTTCTTATTTGTTTGTGATCCTGACTTCATCCTGTAGATGATAAATTGTCCAAATCTCTGTACAGTAAAACATGGTTATAGCGAAGTCCTGGGGACCTGTGAATTTAATTGGCTATATCCGTAATTCGTTATATCCGTATAACAAATTTGTATATTAACCATAGCGAATTCGCAATATGCATATTTTCCTTTAAGTTTTACTATCAAATATGTTAGGGAAGCAAATATAACAAAACATACCTTCCATAACTAAGGTTTCTTTTGAATTTAATTTTACATACAAATGCTGAGAGAAAATAAAGTCAGTTCAATTATTCAAATTCTAAAATCTTTGAAAGTTCGTTATAAAAGATGTAAAATTCATTATATTTAACCTCAACGGGACTCAAAATCAGTTCGCTATATCCGTAAATTCGTTATATCAGAGTTCGTTATAACCGTAAAATTTTACAAAGATTTGTTAAGAATTTTGCCGGGGACCCAGAAAAACTTCATTATATCCGTGAATTTGCTATATCCGTGTTCGTACTAAACGTGTTTTACTGTACAACCACTCTGTTTCAATATATTAGGGGTATCATGGGCGACTGGCGGACTCAGAATATTTTTTAAGAGACCTGAAAGTTAAGGCTCAGTGTTAAAAGTTAATCAACATGAAGACAAAAGTTGTACAACATTATATATAAATTTGCATATGAAAAGTCAAATGTTAGATGCCAAAAGTAAATTTATTTGGTGTAGATGTTATTCATCATTTTCAAAGGTTAAATCTTTAAAATTTGTCTCTAAGTGAACTTGTCCCTCCAGTATAAGGCAATAACTTTAAATACCCAATACATGTATAAGCAAAGTTTACAAAACAAATTTTGCAAAATTAAATTGTACGTGTGTATAAATAGCATTTGAACATGTTAAATTAGTAATCAGTTGGCCATAATATTGTGCTATTCAGTGCTTTGCAAAAGATTATTTTTCCTCTTATTTATCACTGTTTATTAAATGTTCATGATGATAACTACATGCAAGCACATACATTTATTTATCACAAAAATTATAAAACAGGTACACAGATTCAGGTGGGGAGGTGGGGGTTTTGACACTAGCTCCCTCTAAAACAAAAATGATAGATATGATGCATATAGTTTTCATTGTTGTACACTCAACGTACACTGACCTCAGTTTATACAGTCTCATCCGAAGGACCGTCTCCAAGTCCCACAGTGGGATTTGAAAATGTGATGTAAGGATTGACTCCTTACTTCGCGACTCTAGAGCAGACACTCAAAGCAGGGATTTGAGGCAAAAAAATGCAATGAAGCTACCCCTGGAAAAATAAATGACACCTAAAAACTAAAATTTTGCCTGAAGCAGAATTATGCCTACTTGAAAGTCCTTATTATCAAATAATACTACATGTACTTTGTGACTTAAAATGCTGTACAGCCAAGAAAAGTAACTGAAAGTTGATTTACACATTGTAAATCATATTGATATACATATTGTAAATCATATTGATTTACAATATGTAAATCTTAAAATGCTGACTGACATTTTTCATACAAATTGCTAGTCCATTATTTATACACTGAATTGACGATGGATTTTTCCATTATTTCACGATCATGACAAGGAGCTTACAGTGGGTGTGACCGGTCAGCAGGGGATGCTCACTTCTCCATGGCACCAGATCCCACCTCTGATGTCTCGGAGGTCTGTGTTTGCTTTGCTCCTATTTTGTATTGTTTTATGGACTTTGAGATTGAATATTGTTCGTTATCTCCATATCCTATGATATATCCTATGAAGATAAATTATAGCCTTTTTTTCATCATGTCTGTGAGAGATATTTTATTTCGATAATGATTAATCATTTTAGTCATTAACATCTAAAATATTATAAAATTATTTGAGAATTTATTAAAGCAATTATATTTTTTGCATAAGGGACACTGACACAAACCATCATGAGTGTGAAACAATTATGTTTTTAAGAATTTGACAGAGTTTTTGAAATACTTTCATCACTCCAGGCATGATAATGAATCAATCAAATTACTTACTAGTACTGTCCATGTGCTCAGTACTCAGTACTTTACAGTTTAAGTGTATGTATGTCATCTAAGACTGGGATCAAGGAAATTTAAATAATCCTAATTAAAGTAATATTTGGTGGCAGCTAGTATTTTTTTCTATAAAAAATATGTTAGGGGGCACTTTGACTAAAATGAGGGGACACTTTGACAGGGACGTTTTTATTAGAGGGCGCTTGGACTGGTTCCTGCTGCACTCCCTCCCCCTTTTGATTTGCAAAATAAGAGAGAGAAAGAAATACCCAAATTTCTACAGTGTATTGTGTTATTAAAGAAAAATGTTCAATGAAAGGCTTATTTGTAATATATAAAGAAATTTGGTTGTGATAACAAAATGAAACTCTACTTCTTTACGAAATCTTTACATAATAGGATTTACAGGTTCAGAGATTTTTTTTCACTATTTCAAAAAATTTCAGGTAATCTATAGACATGATAGATACGAATATATTTTTCATAGGTTGATCAACCTACCATTTTTAAAACCACACTGCACCCTGTATCCTATTGAGTTATTTAACTACATGTACATGTTTATGCAAAACGTAAGTTATATAAACTCTTTTCCTCTTCACCCCCCCCTTGAAAAATTTCTAGATCCGCGCCTGAATAATAATCACCAGCTGATCACTTGAGGGTTGTTTACATAGTCATTTACCATTTCTAATCTTTTGAATGTCACATTCATTCTATATTCTTTTAATTAAGCACTTCTTCACACGTTTATTACATGTATATTGCATGTAAGTAACTGAGAAATTGTGTATCTGCTGTTGTAAGAAGTAAAACAGACTATAACATTTTCTGCACATTGAATCATTTTCACTTCTTTTAACACTGGGGTAAAATATTTCACAACACCAAGAACAACATAAATAATTTAGTATAATAATTTAAAAGCATTGACAAGCCCTATATATTTTTATAGCACCAAAAGATTTTTATTTTTCCAACCACGCGGAGGCATGTAAACAAAGGAAGATTACTCTAAATGCACCTGATTTAATGTTTCTCGTTTCATGTGTTTGAGGTGATAGAATTCGAGAAATGAAGAATAGTTGAATCAAAGTTTATGTGCAAAAAATGTTCAAGTGAATGAAGGCAAATAAAATGAGCTTTACTTACATTAAATGCATAAATCCCAAAACACACAACTACTTCCTGTCTAAATCTTACAGGAACTGGTGCAGATCTCGCACGGTCTCGAGGCTGGTCTCGTTAAAGGTCAAATCGACCACTCGGATGTTACGCTACAGTTAACAGCGATAAAGAATATCATCCGAACACATTAGTAGGGGTGTTGTTGGTCTTCCAACATTACCCCGCACTATATCTATGATGTCGTGGAGGTATTGCCTCTGCAATCGGTACCTCGATTAACGCCGAATCGGACAAATAGACCACTTGGATATTTCTGTCCCGAAATACCCTCTCTAACCTCTCTTTTGTGCATTTTATCAACAACATCAAGAAAAAGAAAAGCAGCCATTATCAATGTTTTTAATTACCATAGTAACAACGACTTATAGAACACCTTTGAGACGAAACTTACGACTTGCGACAGCCCCCGGGTGGTCGTAGACTTACGACCGAATTTCGTCGCAACTCGCAAGTCTCAAATCTTTGTAAAACGGTCGTATGTCGTAAGTTCGGTCGTACGACCAAGTCTACGACTTACGACCTTTTGTATAACGGGCCCTCTAATCGCAAGCCTCGCCCTCTATCACGTTTTCTTACCCTCGCCCAAATATCGCTTATATTTCGAGACAGTAACCATGTATTTTATATTATCAAACACTAAATTGTTGATTAATGACATGTTTTATGTTTTGATCATCTGTATAAAACGTGCACAATTCTTTTTAAATCGTTATAGGAATATTGTAGGTATAATATGATTGAAAGTAGGAATGAATTAATAATTATTATAAGTAAAAGTAGGAATGAATTAATTATAATATTTGTGCCAGGGACATTATTCTGATATCCCAAATTCAGATATAAAAAGATTTTTTAATATTCATAAGGTCTCATTTGTAAATTTCATTGTGATCTTGCAGAAATAAGATTTATTTACAGAGCATATATACATGTATCTTAAATGCCTGTCAAACTACATCTTTTTCTATGATTTATTTCACGCAGCATTTGTTGTCTTAAAACAAATTAAACCGCATGAAACCGTGTCTAATATTGTCAAAAAATTGAAAGGTCTCTCTGTAAAATTTTTAAATCGTTCATACAATTAACCGAAAAAAAATGTTCAACGAAATTCTTAATCGTTTTAATAGATTTTTTAAATCATATAAGAAATCAATTAAAACCTACAAACGATTTTATGTAAGCACTTTTTCAAGCAAATCTACACGTCTTTACTCAATTAAAGAAAACGTTAATTTTAAGCGCATCCTTACGAAACGGAAGTGAGTTGTAATGCAGGGTTTTTCCAGTTTTCAGATATTTAATGATCTTGTTAGGAATAAGCAGATTTTTTGTTGTGCAGGTTTGTTAATACAATTATACATTTAAAAAATACCGTTTCATGCTGAATTTGTGTGGATTGTATATAAAACATCTATCTTTTCTCTGTGTTAATATCAGAAACTGAACGTCAAGTAACTGATTTGTTAACGTTTTTTGAAGTTACTATTGGCATTCAAGATTTTACTTTTGAACGAAACTAAGACTGAGGTTAACATAATATTCACTTATCAAATAACAACGATAATTTCAAATCTGTGAAAAAATGATACTTAATTAATCTTCATAGGAATTTGGACGTAAATGACAAGTAACTTTTCTTAGATTGATAATGTTTTATTAGACCCCTACAGGTGAAACCGGAGAGAACTATAGGTTTCCTCTGCGTCTGTCCGTCCGTCTGTCTGTTCCCACCTGTCTGTCAGTCTCTCCTACTTGGTTTTCCGATTTGTTTTTCTAAACGCATGCTGATATTGAACTGAATTTTGGTATGTGAATGTATCTTGATGAGTTACAGATCAATTTTGAATTTTGAATGTCGTTTCGCTTCATTGATTTTTGACAAAATTATGGCATTTTTAATTTTACATAAACTTTTATGATTGGGTTCGTGCTGTGCTAAATTCCGATGGTCAACATAAATATGAAGAGATGATGAAAAAATGAGTTGAATTTACGTCTTAATGGGGGTTACTTTCTTAGATTACAGGCATTCACAACCTTAAAATAAAGCAGTTTTTCCTTAGACATATACTTTTGCATATTATAAAATGACATCTTAAAGAAAAAGGGTAACCCGGTAGGGGACAAGTATTGTGAATTGCTTATGCAATACTCTTAGAATGCTTGTTTTCAGTGTCCTTGGTGATAAAGCAAAAGCAAAATTGAAACTCATTAGAAATGGACAGTAGTTAAGGCCAACAATAAAAAATGACTTGTTTGACGCACTCCGACTTACCTGTCAACATCACCTCTACCAAATCATTTTTTAGTACTTTGATTTTTATAAATTTTGTTAGTTTCCATAGACATAGACATTGTTTAATTTTAAAGACATATAAATGTTCAATAATCATTTTTACGGCAATAAAAATTAAATTTTTTTTGTCAGGTGTATAATGAAAATACCAAGTTTCTGGTTTCTGTGAAAAAAAAAAATTTCAGATAGCAATTAAGAAAATCCATCACATTTTTACCTACCTACCTTGCAAAATCAAACAAACAAAAATATGATAGCACGAACAATCACAAAATTGACATTAATACAGAAGAAAATTAAGCATAATCATTCATGTTACAGATATACGTGTTTTGATTCTATCATAATATACCGGGATGGATCATATTCCTCGGCTATCAGAGTCTGTGTATGTGGGACTATGTCGTAAACTAGGGAGTCCTACAGAAGTGAGGATCAGGAGAGAAGTGATGGATACTCTGGAGGTTGTAAACAAACCTTTATACATCATGAGGGGTCTTGATAGAATACAGAGCGGGAGTAGACGTGAGGGATTCAGACTGAGGACTTCAGATGATGATTGGATGTTCTGGCTTCCGGACCACAAAGTTATATGTGATCTCTCTCAGATCAGTCTCTACCGTATCCAAGAAAACACTATGATTTTGATGAATTGTAATAATCTTCCACCGGGTTTTACCAGACTTTACCTAATGAGTCCATCAAATAATGTACAAACCGTTTTCTCCTGTGTAGTATTAAATTACAGTGTATTCATTTCAAGTGCATTATTCAGAAATAACCATTTGATTTACACTAAGATGAACACAATCTCTTCTGCTTTCCCTCATGGACCTTGTTGTACATTTTCCGTAAGCAAGGGAATAGAAACTGACCAGGCGTTTTGTTTCCAGTCACATCACTGGCCTACGTCAGCACTGCCATGGATACAGAGATGTCGACAACAGGGTTGGCCAGCCCAGAATGTTGTATCGGAAATATTAAGCGGAGGATTTCATGTGGTTCCTATCGGAAGCACTCCTGATAATGGACTAGAATGGAGAATATCTTTCTCAATAGCAGAACAAAAACTTATTTATTCAATGAATCACTGTCAGTTTTTGTGTTATGGTCTTCTTAAAATATTTCTCAAAGAAGTAATTAATTGTCAGACCAGTACACAAATTATTTGTTCATACTTCCTGAAAACTATTCTATTTTGGACTATACATAAGAATACTTCTTTGATTTGGACACCTGATAACTTATTGTCTTGTTTCTGGATATGCTTTAAATTATTGATAAATAATGTACGTACTGGGGAATGTCCAAACTTTTTTATTCCACAAAACAACATGTTTAGAGTGAAAGTCACTGGTTCTGCGCAAACCTCACTGTTCAGTCAGTTGTATGATTTGTACGGTAAGGGGATATCCTGTTTACTCTTGAGTGAAACAATCAGACCTTACCTCTGTAGGGCTATATTAAACAGAACATTCAGAGTCTGTACAGACGAGAGCAGTATTGCATCTAGCACCTATTTAGATGCTGTCTTATTTAGTGAATTACCCTTATTTAATCTATGCATTGAGCGTATTGAGGAATTTGTAGTTTACATAAAACAAATAGAGAAAATGATTAAGGAAGGATTGTCATCGTATCAACCAGTCATTTTACAAAGTATCACATCAAATGTGTTACGGAACGCTGCTTTGTATGTGCAAAAAAACATATGTCAAAATGAAAATTCTAGTAAGGTTTTCTATCAAGCTAAAAGGGGATTTAAGATGCTAAAACAGTCGTGTAAGTTCGGCTGTGTGTCTGATATCCTTTATCTTGCTATGTACTTCTACAGAACACGTAGATATGAAGATTCACTCAGTTGTTTACATAAAGCAACGGAAAGAATGTCAATGCCATATATAATGTATTTGGGTCATGTCAGACAACATTTGTACCTATATTGCCTAGAAAGGGATACCCTGGGTAGTAAGATGAGGAGAGCTCTAGTGAGGGATATCATGCTACAATTTAAGTACACTTACATTGATGAACTATCGTTAGAGCAGGGGATCAATAAGAAGAATGAATTTTTGTCATTAAAGATCCCACCTTTTGTGATGTTACACATGTTGTTTATACTGAATCACCACAAACTTGGTAACACAGTCAGGTCACAACAATCTCTACAGGATCTACAGACTCTGCTGCTCTATGATGACGGGGTTTATGTACCTCATGTCTTTAGAGATATTTCGTGGCAGATATTGGGCATATGTCAACAAATCTGTGGAGACTTTTCGGGATCTCTCCGGTCTTATCAATATGCCTTACAACAAGAACCAGTATTTCACAAGATCCAGGAAGCAACACTGTTACGTATAGAGAACCTTTCTGATAGGATGTTGTAATTTTTTTTTACATTCAACATTGCATAATGTTTTTCTAACCTAATTTTTGTAAAGGACACTGTAATTTTTTTTTCATAACTTTTTCAACCAGTTATATTATTTTACATTATTTTGTAACACTTGCATATTTTACTTTATATTTAGTGTTTCATCACTTATATTGTAAGTTATTTCATACTACTTAGTTTTCCTGATTTTTTTGTATTAATGCAAATATTAATTTGTTTTATGATATAGTACGCTGTATACTCATACTGATTCAATGTCCGATCTTTCCCTTGTATTCCATTGTTTAGACATCTATTGAGAAAGCAAAATGTCATTTGTTCAATTATTTAAAATTAAAGTAAATTTCTAATTCACTACGTATTTCTCTCATTGTTTTTATATTATAGTTACCTTCTTCATTGACATTAACATGTAAATAGCATGGAAAGTCTCGTATATGATAAGTTTTAATTTCAAAAACGATATTCTAGATAAAAAATGATATTACAACCTATAATATACAATACGTGGTAGTGTTATGCAATTTTTAATCTGGCCATGCTAAAAGAGTACGCTGTAATTCTTTCAGTTGTTGGATAATTATTTTTTATTTATTTGTTGAAGGTAAGGGCCGATTTGGCGGTTTTTGATAGGTGATAATGGTTAACATAATTAGAATAATACCGTATAAGCAGAATTTTTAGCGAGGATGCATTATAAGCGAGGGTGCTAAAATTGAGTATCGCTAAAAATTAATTGCACTTTATTTGTAATACATTCTTTAATGTTCATTTCAAAATTGCTAAAATAGCATCTCGCTAGAAATATATCACCAGTTTTTAAGGACAAATCGCTAAATTTGTGTCTCGCTAAAATTTCCACTTATACGGTATACAAAGAAATATGTAAATAATTAGATATTGTGAGAGTAAAAGGATGATCGGACTGCAATTTCCTCAACCAAATATGACACTATACAGTTTAAATATATCATTCATATGAGAAAGTCACCATGATTCCAGTTCCCCAAGAGCAAACTTATTGCGTGGGAATAATTTGATACCTTGTGGTGGGAGTAATTTGACACCACTAAGTGTTTGTTTGCTGATCAGAGCGAACTTGAATTTTGTAATAAAATAAAATGCAAGACAAATATGAGGGATTTGTGTAAATGCTTAATTGCTTACAAGAAAATTATTCGAAAATTTTAACAATCATTATAACTGTATGCGGCCATGGACTAACTAAACGTTTTCTATTACAAATCTTAAAATTTGCTGTAAACACCTTCCCTGCAATCACGCATTTTAACGCATATACCATTGCCCCGCAGTCACCTATATGCCTGTGCCCCTTAATTTAAACGTCTTTTACCTTTTTTGGCTTGTCAATGAATTCTATGAGAAGTAATGCATTTAGGCGATTAAAAGAAGGAACAGTCCTCTTCGTTTCTCGTGCATAGGGGCAGAGAGATGGGAGAGAGGGTTAAACATTTTCGTACATTTAAGTAGGAGGGCTGTTTGGAAATTATTGACACATACTGTTTATCCTCCTTTTTCTCTAATGAACACACAGAGACACAAAAATTTTAAACATCAGTTACAAAACAATTTTAAACAAAATGAAAAAAAAAAATTCCAAAAGAAAAAACTAAATGAAAAAAAAAATAAAACAAAATAAAATGATAAAGAAAAAAAAAGCAAAAAAAAAAAAAAAAAAAAAAAAAAAAATTAAGAGCGGGTACGCTAAGTGTCTCACTTTGATTCTAATATATTAGTGACACAGATCGTTTTTTCATTCCTCTTAAATAGGTTAAAAAATAAACATTGTTTAAAATGATATAACAAAAACTGGTATTAAGGGATTTCCGTTATATAATTACACATTGAAATTCAGCGAATTTGTACACTATCAGAAGCAGTGTAAATAGGATTCTGTCACAAAATAGAGAGTCAGACGGAAGAAAGGGTCAGAAGAGAAGTGATAAACATTAACGGGGTAACGGATAAACCTGTTTCCGTTATGAGAGGTTTTGACAGAATGAATATAGTGGGAGTAGGCATGAGGCATTCAGACTGAGTACTTCTGATATATGGTTTACACATTCTGGTTTCCAAACCACAAATGATATAAGAGGATTCCTATGTCACTCTCTATCGTACAACAAACGACACCGTGATTTTGATGTGGTGTCATTATTTACCAATGGGATTTACAAGATTAAATCTGATGAGTTTATCAAATGAGGCAAAAATCAGTTCCTCCTATGTACATGTAGTAATGAATAGCAAAGTATATACTTTAGATACTTTATTCAGAAATAAACATTTTTAATTCTTAAAATTCCTCCATTTTTTTACATCAAGACTGTCGTTCCTCATGGACCATATGCTACTTATATTTACCGTATTCCAAGGTTCAGAGACTGAACTTATGTTCTATTTCCCATCTGACTTGTGGATACAGAGAAGTCGTAAACAGAACCATCCAACTCAGAATGTTGTTTCAGACACATGCATATTAAGAGGAGGTTTACATGTTGTTCCTATCAGAAGCACATCTTAAAATGAATTAGAAAGGAGAATCTCATTCTCTCAAGCAGAAATAAAATCTCATTTACTCAATGAATCACTGTCATTTTTTTGTGTTATGGTCTCTTCAATTTTGTGTTTTTGAAGTAATTAACTATCAGACCAATACAACAATTCTCTGCTCATATTTCTTAAAAACATTCGTATTTTGGTTTATTCAAACTAATACGTCATTGTCTTGGAACCTGATTACTTATAATTAAGGACTTGTGTATGGGAAAACTTTAGATCATTCATATACATAGTTTACATAGCAAGGCAAGTCTACATTGTGTCGATTTAGAGCCCGACTGAATAATAACGAAACACAGGACTGATCTGGCTCTGCTCCTATTTTGTATTGCTTTATGGACTTTGAGATTGAATACTGTTGCCGATTATTTTAAATGAACAGCGATGTTATATATTCATTGTGCTGTTATATGCTTCTCATTGGAAAGTTCATTCATGCACTTATTGTTTGTTAGGTAATCTTAAGAATAAATATCACTGACTCGATATTTGAATATGTAAATATGTTCATATTTTTAATCAGGGGATAAAACTTAAGCTTCTTCCTGACATCCTCATATTCATATTGTCAAGGGCACTAATGATCCAATAACCTCATATACTTGTTATATATTTGTATTAGTATTGGTAAAATGCCCAATCTTATATCTCTCAGGTAGTTTCCACAAACTGCCAAAGTCACGCTTCTTCAGATTTCTCCACTAGAATTTTTTTTAACTCTTGAACTAAAGATTAGTCACAATTGTATGAAGTGATTTACGGATGGGGGGTATACATTTGATTGTTGTGTATTACTGTTCAGCCAATCAGATTATCAAATCAGATTATCCAGCTAACCAATGAAAAAGTGAATGATATCATAATGGAAATGACGTTTTAATGAAAATAATTGTGTGTAGAGATTTATAGAAAACTTAACATAAATTTTGACTAAACATGGAAGACATGTTTGATGCATTTTTTTTAAACAAAGAAACATACAGCATTGACCAATGTCACGGATAAATAGAGGATATTCAATGTTTTATAGTTGAATATGGAATTTAATTCACGAGTAGGACAGGATTTTTTTTTTATATTTTCACGAGTGCGAAGCAAGAGTAAAAAAAAAATTCCTGTCTCACGAGTGAAATAAATTCTATATTCAAGTACAAAATATTTAATGTTCTGTTGTTTTTTTTTTTACATTTTAAAATTTTTTTCCTTTTTTTTTCCTTTGCCTCTGTCTTTTTTGTAATACAGTGATAGGCAACATGACGTCATAGTTGAGCGCTTGAGACGTCATAGGTAAGTGAGGTGGTAAACATGGATTTAGTAACATATTTTGGTAATTTTGGCAGTTTTATTATCTGTCAGAATGGTTTTCTGTATTTATTTCTGTTTATCATATCAGGTCGCCCCGTGGGGATCGGGGTTAGATAAAGCCCTCAATACCCCCTTGCTTGTCGTACAAGGCGACTAAATGGGGCGGTCCTTCGGATGAGACCGTATAAACCGAGGCCCCGTGTCACAGCAGGTGTGGAACGATAAATATCCCTCCCTGCATGCTCAAAGGCCGTAAGTGCCGAGCATAGGCCTAAATTTGCAGCCCTTCACCGGCAATGTTTACGTCTCCATATCGGTGAAATATTTTGGAGTGGGACGTTAAACAGTATACAATTAATCAATCTTATATCAGGTCAAGGAAGATTATTTTTACAACACTCTCCGTTATGGGAAGAAAAAATCGAGAGTTTTACCGCACTTCTGATATTTGTCACACTGTTAAAGGATATCATTTTGATACCCTTTCACACTGTGACAGAATATCATTTTTATTCAATGAATAAATAACAGAATTTTACCGGTAAAAATTATCACGTGACATTAAACTTCATATTTCCCTGTCAACGACATAATTTTCATCATATTCCACCTCTTCGGAAACCTACTGCATTTTCCCCATAAATGTTATCGTTCGTTGAACGAGAACTCCTGAGAGTAGTTGACGTCACAATAGCCTATTTTTGTCACAGGGTTTCAATGCAACTTTACGTTAAAAATTAAGATGAATTTGAGAGCGATATCGAATTTAAAAGTTTATGTTTATTAAAAATTTTTGCTTGTTTCGGTATAATAAACAATTCATTGCATGAATGTTCAGGAAACATGAAGATTTATTCAACCAAGAAATACGAGGGGTTATCAAAAAGTTCGTGGACTAGCGCCATAAAATTAAAACCGCTTTAGTTACATCAGTGAATTTTGAAATATCTATTCACTAGTATTCAGCATCTCTTTTTCTTTCTAAAGAATAAACCATGAATCATAAATTTTTATTTTCAATTAATTAGTAATGTTTTTGTAAGTAATGGTATGTCCAGTCGGCGCAACATCCAAAACGACGTTTTTGAGACCTATATGTGACTAAGAAAAACTCTTTTGATATGATCATTTGACATCCAAAAATCCCATTAATTCAGGTGTGTGTTCGGACACAATTGTTCCATAAGATTTTTACTTCATTCTGGAAGTTCTATGAATTTTTTTTCGTAAATTTTACATGAAATTTCCAAACAAATAAGGCCTTGAAAATGACGTCAAAAGGGGGGAGGAGTTTCCTTTTTCAACATTTTATAAGGTTCTGTCCCTGAAAAAACTGGTATAGACCTAAGAAATGTTTAAACTGGCTACAAAGAAATAGTATTCATTCAGAGCACCTGTCTTTTAATGTCAAAATAGATTCGGAGAGAAAAGGAATGTACAGTTAA